AGGTTCCAGGTAAAATTCAACAAATTATATGCACAGGAAATGTATGTGATAAAGAAACATTTGATTATTTGAGAACAATTGCTGGTGATGTTCATGTAGTTAGAGGAGATTACGATGAGGTACAGTATAATAGTTATTAATTTAAACCCTCATTTTTCTTATTATTATCTCTTACATTAAAATAATATCTCTTAAAATAAATAAGTTTGCAAATTGGCCACTCTCCAAGATTGTCACTCATGGACATCTTCGTATTGGAGTGTTACATGGACATCAAGTAATTCCAATTGGTGACGCAGAATCATTATCAATTATAGCAAGACAAATGAACGTAGACATTTTATTAACAGGTCATACTCATCGTTTTGAAGCAATTGAATATGAAGGAAAATTTTTTGTTAATCCTGGAAGTGCAACTGGTGCTTATTCAGGATTTAGTGCCGAGTATGTTTGTTGTGTCATCCTTTCATTGAATATGATTATTTCTCTTGCAATTCACTCATTATATAAATTTCAAACATTTAGGGAAATAATACCATCATTTATTCTAATGGACATTCAAGGGTCAGTGGTGACTACATATGTTTATCAATTGATTGATGGTGATGTAAAGGTCGATAAGATAGAGTATAGAAAAACATTTGACTCTGAAAGAGTTGCGTAATAATAATACTATTTACTAATTTAACAATTATTTGTATAATAATATATATTATAATGATAATAAATATTTCACATGATTCGAATCTTTATGACAAAAACAAATCTAAAATTTCAAACCTCCCCCCCCCATTTAAAAATAAAAACTATTGGTAATCAAATAGTCAAGATTAGATGGGCCAAGAAACTAATAGGCACCGAGAATGTTAGCATTAGTAGCATTCATTATTGCTAACACCAATAACATTAGTAAAATTTATTAAATATTAAATTTATTATTGTTTTTAATAATAGTACTTATGATGATGATAACATTTATAATAATAATGGATTTAGGCAAATTATTTAAAAAATATATATATATATCTATTTAGAACCACATTTTTATTAGAAATCTTATTACATTCATAGAACTTTTTCATCCAGCCATTGAAATCTTTAATTTACAATTTTTCAAATTTATATCATATTCCCTTTACCTACTACATTCACTCCATATATTTTTTTCTTTTCCTCTTAAAACTATTTAATTACCAAGAAAGAAATATTGTAATCCAAATGACAAAGAAACCTACAATATGTGAACTGCATAAAATAATCAAATCAGAAAATTAAAAAGGTTGAAAGAAAAACTATGAAAAACAAGAAAATTATAATAATTAATTATTGTTTGATTAATATTAATATTTATTTATCTGGAATTTACACTGGTTTTCATTAAAAAAAAAACAATTAATATATTTGTGAGAATAGAACCAAAAATAATTTCTATTATAAAAAAATAATCTTACACTTTTTGTAAAAATTTTTGAAGCTCTTCAGCCTCAACAATCAAATCGTCATTTTGTTCGGTTGATAATGTCCGCTGTTGCTGTTGTTGTTTTATCATAGTGACAAGTTCATTTTGTGTACATCCTTTCACATCATTATTATTATAATCATTAAGAGTTTTACTTTTACTTTTACTATTACTACTAAACTTATTATTATTATTATTATTAATATCTTCTTCTTCCTCTTCTTCAGTTGTGATTTTACGTTTGCCTTTTCCACTTATTCCTGGTGGTTGTAAACTTTTTTGTTTATAAATTTGACGAATATGCTCAAGTTGTTCTATGTCATCTTGTCTAATCTCTAGTTTTGTTGGTTTTCGACGAAGCATTATTTTTATGATTTACAAAAGAAAATCTGGGTATCAAATTTTTTCTTTGAATTGATATACCCGGATATTTTACAGGTTGAACAATAAATTCGTTATATATGGGAAAAAGGTTGCAATAATTTGAATTCTCTTTTTCATTCTTCATCTTTGGAAACTATTAATATTTAATGACCTTATCAATTCTAATATAGACCACAATTATTATATGAATCTGATTTTTTATGACGCGGAAATTAAAAGTTGAATAAACTGAGACATTAGAACTTTAAAGCTCACCCCACAATTCCAAAAGCAAGGTCTTTATATTTAAAACTATTTTATCAAATATATGGCCAAATAAGCATATATTTTGAAATCTTATTAACGTAAATTATTAATTACAACTTTTGTGTGATTATATGCAGTAGACTTGCTGTTCGAAATTTGGAATATGGTTCAGACAGTATAGATTTGCAACCATTCATTAATGTTATTGACGCTATTTTAAAATTTATCACATGACAGCAAAAATACTCACTCAATCAATATCCGGGTAATCATTAAAGTATTCAGATATTCATTTGATCATTAATTAACTATTCAGTGAATGATTATTTATTGATGAATGTTCAGTGAATGTTCAAGATAAATTTTAAAATTTATTAGTCATTTTACATTCTGTCAAAAAAACAAAATGTGGATCAAGTTTTGTTCCTTTGAAGTCATTGTATTTCCAGCTGATTAAATAATCTCTCACTTGAAGTGGACATTGTAAGTGCATAGTAACTAACTGACAAAACAGGGAATCTATTTTATTTTAAGAATGGATCATCTTTCCATATCTAACTTGAATCACTCTTTAATTTGCTTTTCTTCAAAATATGAGCAGCAGAAGACTTTTCCCCTCTCATTATTATATTATTGCTTTCTCCTATTACAGTGGCTGAAGACTATTCTTCCATTTTAAATGAACGAAAGTGAAATAATTGATTAATTTAATTAATTAGAAACGAACAAACAGAGAATTTATTTGAACATGAGAAAAATTTCATTTCGATTCAATTGCACAAGATATTGATTATTATTATATTTGGTCAATTAGTCAATGATATCTGTCCGATTAACTAAATATTTACTGAATATTCAATGAATATGTGGTAGAATTTTTTGCAGAAATCATTGGTGAGTAAATTTTTGAAAACAAATTAGGAAAATTTATCTTCTGCTACAACTTTTGTATTTGTCATTGTTATAATAATATTTATTTAAATATAAACCATTGATTTACTTCTCTATCTTTTTCATCATCATCATTATCATTATTAACAAATCCGTTAGATTCATCAATAACCATTTACATTTTTTTCTAGATTAGTACACTGCAGCCATAAAAAAATCTATAATTGTAGCCACATTATCATTTGAAGATTCCAATTTTTTTGGTTGACGATGAATGTAACCGCTGAAAGAACAAATTTGTCCAACTATTTATAATTATTTTTTGCCAATGTTTAATAGCAAAATACTTTGATAAGGTTTAGTAGTCTTCATACCACCAGTTTGAATCCAACCTATTATAACATATATTTATGTATATATTTACTACCTCTAAAAAATATGGGGCATACTGCAACAAAACCACGCAAAGTGAACATTGGTATTACCAAGGATTTCAGGGATCAAAATTTAGTCATTGTTATCACAATTGCATTGTAATGCTCCATTTGTTAATCTTTTAACTTTATTTGGACACATGTGAGGCATTTTTTCACATTCATAATGATCATTTACCAAATAAAATATAATACAATTTTTTGTGACCAAATCAAAACACATCTTTATATGAATCAGTAAGTTATTAATTGAATTTGATCACAATCCATTTGATTGGTGAATTTTATAAAAACAAAAACAAACTATCCCATTCTTACAAAACTTGCTCGCCAATTTCTGCGACTTCAACACCAAGTGAACAATTGTTCAGTCGTGCAGGAAATTTATTAACTACTAAAAGGTCAAGTTTACATTTAGAATCATTTAAACAACATATGTTATTTTTAAATCTATTCACCCATCAAATTGATTTTGAATGCAATAAACATCAAAATTGTTGGTATTTCTACACTTTCAACCAGATGGATGTATTTTTTGCGTAATGAATGGATGACAGATTGATTTTTGAGATAAACATGAATGATCGCATCACCGGTACTAGTCAAGTAGTAATATTAATAAATATACTCTTTCTAAAAAAAAATGGATGGAACAAACCATATCAGCCGATTTGGTTTTTTGGATCTTTTTTTCAAACCTTATATCTTATTGTGTCTCGACGTTAATCACGTTAAACATGATGTATAAACTGGTCAATAGAATGGTAATTAACCCCAAAAAATTTATAAAAAAACTATTTTACTATTCGGTAGCCCGTCAAACCAATGGCCCCATCTCAAAACAAATGGGTTTTTGCTAGTATAAAGTATTCATAACGTTATGATCACACCGTACTGGATTTTGGGTTCAAACAAAATCAGCGCATATGCTCTATTGAAATGCCAACTTTTATTAGAAAACCATCAACCCTTTCAATTAAGGGTTTTTCGAAAAAACAAATACTTAAATAGAGTAAATCAGCTATTTTAACATTATTAGATTTTTTACACAAAACTTAAAAGCACTCATGGTGGTTAAAAACCAGAGGGTGGTATCAAACATCAGATTATATATTTGTTGAAATCAACGCTAAAACCATTATCATTGATATCTGTAAGTGCGAAATGTGAATAGTTAGCTCCATTTTATTTTTATTTTTATTTCTTTGTAAGTGATGATGTATAGAGTTTGAAGTTGGGGGATTTTACAAATTCTACAACCTTTTCCGAATTCTACCATGTATTCCCGATATAACAATCTGATAAAGTAACCAATTTAAAAAAATCTACAAAGCTAAATTTTAATTCGTGATCCACGAGTGTATTGATTGGTGTTTGAATGTTCTTATCTCTCCCTCCCTTAAAAGGATTTTGGTTTTTGATGCATTAATATCCTATGTTCATATGAATATTCACAAGTATTAGAACACAATTCGTGGAAATCGTTCGTCACATCCATACAGATGTTCCAAAATTGGAAATTAATTAATGTAAAAAATTATATTTATTTTGATTTGTTTTCAATAATAATTTTCAGTTGAGAAATCATGACTTCTTCACCTCCTACGATTAGAAAAGAATCAAGAAGACCTTCCTCTTCCGATATCAGGATAAACACAAGAAAAACTTCTTGTTCTAGTAAAATATCCAATTATACTTTATATTATTTACATGTTGAAAAGAGATATATATACCGAATAAAATACTAATTTTTTTAAAAAATAGCCTTAGATGAATCATTGAAGACTTACAAACTTCTGGAAGCACTTCGAACAGGCACATTATAATTTATTATATATTCTTTGCTAAATTATGTATTTATTTTAATTAATAAAATATTATATTTATTTAGGCGATTTATCAACGTTAGAAACAATACTATCAACATTTCAATTAGCGCAACCGCCAACTCCAAATTCTACTGCTGGTAGTTTATCAAGCATTCCTGAATCACAAACATCGCCATTAATTCTAGCTGTTCAATGTGCCAGTGTTTCTACTATAGAGTTCATATTATCAAAATTTTCAAATAATATTAATATTAATCAACGTGACCAACTCGGAAATACTTGTTTACATTATGCTTCAAAAAATGACAGATTGGATGTCATAGGAATTTTATTGAAACAACCAAACATTAACGATACAATACCTAATTATGATGATAAAAAACCTATTGATCTAGCTAGAAATCAAGAAATAATAGAGTTATTTAATGGTAATTTTATTTAAATTTCTTATATGTTTCTATTTGTTTTTTTCTTACTTTTTTTGTTTTTCATTATCTCCGATTTTTAATTTATAGCAAATAAACAAGAATTTATTGAGGAATCAACTTCATTGTTTCGACAATATGTTTCAGATTCAAACTATATAGCAATACAAAATTTATTTCAAAATCCAAGAGTCAGTGCTTTAATTGATATAAACCTTCAAAATCCTTCAAATGGCACAACCTTACTGCATGATGCGACCAAAAAAAAAAATTTGGAGATGGTCAAATTTTGCTTAGATAATGGTGCAGATGTAACCGTCAGGGATCGTAAAGGCAAAACACCAATTGATGTTGCTAAAGATGATAAAATTAAAAACTTATTAAAACAAGGTTAATAATCATTTATTTTGTTACTTGTTCCTATAAAAATGATAACTTTTTTTTAATTTGGAAGGGTAATAATCGATTTTATTATTTTAGTTAAACCAACAATTGAATTAGAGATTTCAACTTCACCAGATCATCCACCAAAATTAAAAGGATACTTACATAAATGGACAAATTATGCCGGAGGTTATAAGATCAGATGGTTTGTACTTGAAAATGGTATATATATATGTAATTATTTAGAATTCACAACGAATAAATAAATGATAACAATAATGATAATAACCTTATTTGGTTGATTTTATTAGCGATACTGTATTATTTTCAAAATAAAGGTGATGCAGGTAATTCGTGTCGTGGCTCAATTAATATGAAAATAGCAAAAATTTCTAAAGATACATCAGATACACAAAGGTTTGTTATAATTGGTAAAGGTTCTGTAAGATATCATTTAAGAGCAAATACTCCATTAGAAGCAAAAGAATGGATAGCTGCATTAGAACAATCAATACAATGGGAGGATAATAATAATACTACGAATAGGTCAATTACAATAGATGACAAAGCCTCTATTTCACTTGTATCACGTGAAAGTAACAGAGATGAAGATTTAAGGATTGGACGCAATTTACACAGGGATGATCAAAGCAATATAGAGAAAGGCGAAGAAAATAATTATATGGGTGAACATTCTAGATCATCATCAAATGATTCAAGTGAAATTGATAAGTTACCATACGAAAATACCTACCATTTGACTATAAGTTCAGTTAGAACACAATTCGATTTACAAAATCGATTATTTGAATCTTTAGTTGATTTATTAAGGCAGTCTTCCACAGAAAAAGATTCAAAAGAATCAAAACTTATAGAGGCTTTTGCGAAATCTTTACAAACATTACAAGATTTGTTAAATGATACACTTAAAATGTCAGAAGAAAGAGATAACTATTGGCAGAAAAAATTAGGTAAAGAATTAGAAGCTAAAAAGTTATGGGAAGAAAGCATGGAAGCTTTAGCAATTGAAAAAACTGAAATGGAAACAGTAATACAAAATAATGCAAAGGAAGAAAAAATAATGAAAAAACATTTAAAAGCAGCTATTATTGCTGAAAGTCTAGTTAACTCACCAACTAGTCCTAAATTTTCAAACTTATCATCAAATTCTAAAGAACCTGTTTCGCCTAATAAACCTCAAGATGGTTTAATTGATAAAGATGCTGAAAAGAAAGAGGAGCAACTTTCATTGGCAGACATATACGATTCTGAAGATGAATTTTACGACGCTTTTGATGGCGGACCAATTTTAGAAGGGGTCGAACCAAGCATTATTACCAATCCAACCGAAGATAATCTCTCGTCAACTTTTGGAAAAAATGCCTCATTATCCAAAGATGTTCAGCCAACGTATATATCTGATTCATACAATGGGTATCCCGATCATGCTAGAACAAAATTTTCACTAGATAAAGGCTTTTCAAAACCTGAAGTTTCATTATGGTCAATATTAAAAAATTCTATTGGCAAAGATTTAAGTAATATCGCTTTACCTGTCTATTTTAATGAGCCAACTTCTATGCTACAGCGTATGTCTGAAGACATGGAGTATAGTGAATTATTAGATCTTGCAGCTATACAGAAAGGTAGCACTGAGAGAATTTTATTTGTTGCTGCCTTTGCTATGAGCAATTACTCTAGTACCGTTGGTAGAATTGCAAAGCCATTCAATCCCTTATTGGTTTGTATGTCTGAATAATATATATTTTTAAGTTATTATTTAAAAACTTTTAATAATATTGTTATTTTTATAGGGAGAGACTTATGAGTATGTTCATCCAGATAAATCCTTTAGGTATGTGTCGGAACAAGTCAGCCATCATCCAGTAAGTAATGAAATGATTTATTTGATTTCTTAATAATATGACAAAACATAAATAATAATCCTTGGTCTATATAGCCAATTAGTACATGTCATTGTGAATCACCCAATTATGATTTTTTTTCTGAGGTGGACGTAAAATCAAAATTTTGGGGAAAATCATTTGAGGCATTACCACAAGGAGTATCACATGCGAGACTAAAAGTTTTAAAGGAATACTTTCCTACATATACAAACAAGTCAGCTGAAGACTTTCCAGCAAATGGTAATCCCAAAGCATTTTCTGAACATTATTCATGGAAAAAAGTTACAACATCTGTAAATAATTTAATGATTGGTAAACCGTGGTTTGACCATTATGGTGATATGACTATAACAAATCATTTGACAGGAGATCAGTGTATTTTAACTTTTAAAGCCAGGGGTTGGAGAGGCAAAGATGCGTTTGAGATTAGAGGTGTTGTGAAAGATAAAGATGACAAAGGAATTTGGGAGATTGCAGGTAGATGGAATGAAAGGTTGGTTGCAAGAAGAATAATTTTAAGTCCTTCGACACATGAAGAGGATTTGGGAAGTGATGCAGCGGCCTCAAAAGCTAAATTAGTACATGAATTGTCACCAACATTTAAACTCGAATCACCAATACAGACATCACCAATTTCAACCACCCAACCACAACGAAGACCAATTGTATTGTTATGGGAAAAGCATCCAGCACCTGAAGAACCTTTACCATTTAACTTAACACCATATGCAATGACATTAAATGATTTACCCAGTTCATTGAAAATATGGATAGCACCTACAGATTCAAGATTGAGGCCTGATCAAAGATCAATGGAGTTAGGTGATTATGAATCTGCAAGTTTGGAAAAAAATAGATTAGAGGAGAAACAAAGAGAAAAAAGAAAATTAAGAGAAGCTGGTTCTATTCCAGAATTTCAACCTAGGTGGTTTACTAAAGAAATTGAAGAGGACACCGGTGAAAAATATTGGAAATTCAATCATGAATATTGGAAAGAAAGAGAACGTGTCGTTAGAGAAAAGATTCAAGGCATTGGAGATTCTAAATGGAATATTGATGATGATGATATTTTTTAGAATTTTGATTTAATTTTAATTTTTAATTTTAATTTAATTTTAATTTTTAATTTTTAATTTTAATTTTGTAGTTAGTTTTTGATAATTCGTTAAAAACATTTTACTCCCACCATATATGGCACTTATTCACCGTTCTAGATTAAAAATGAGCATGGTGGAAGTTTGATTTTTTTGATTTTGTAATTATAAACATTGATAAGTTGATTTTGCAAACTGTAGTTCTAGGAAATTATTAATAAGCTGATGAATTACTCTTGAATTTTTTGTTGTTGTTGTTGTTGTTGTTGTTGTTGTTGTTGCTGTTGTTGTCGATAATAATGATAGTGAAGATTATTCAAATGAATGAATGATGCATTGCACTTGTCGATGTGTTTAATTGTGATTTTGCTCTCGTTATATATCTGAGTAAAAGTAGAATTAGTGATCACAATCATCATATTCATGAATATTCATTAAGGGGGGTTACACTTATCAAAATCCAAAAATCCCTTAAAGTTACGTGTCAATCACTTGATTTTGATAAGTGTAACCTATTCATGAATATGACAAAGTATATATAGTGCAAGACACCTAGTCCCACAACTTTTTATTGGCCTTGTAGATCCTTCTCTAACTCCAAAAATGGAAATGT